ATCAAAATAATAATTGCATTTAATAATGTCTAGTAAGACAAATTCAATATTGTCTACTAGGCACTGGTGTATCTAAACTGTGTCACCCCACCTTACATTTTCCTATTGTTATTTAAGATCATTATTTCTATGTACACATTGCCAGTTTATCATCATCTGTAATATACATCGTCTCGACCAACAACATCGTATCATTCACCCGCAACAGTGGTGACCCCGACGTGATCTGGCCGACGAGACTATATTAAAATTTAACCCAGATGAAACCGCGGGCACAGCTAGTTTAATATATAGCGAGAAAACTCTCAATCGGGCGTTGGTTACAAGTGTTATAGAAGACAAAACATAACTGGGGCACAGCACCTACAGCGGCTGGGTGAAAACGGTGTGCAACTTTCGCCGGCCACCAACCGCCCGGCGATCTAAGTGATGTAAATCAGTGTATCATTTGTGTTCGTTATGCGTCGTATTATATCATATTTTGTTAGTTTACTGATTCAATGTGAATTGATTTGTTATTGAACTTGATTTTTTTCAAGCCTGTTATGTTAGCGTTGCAACGGATTGCGTAATTCTTTGGAGATCGTTTCAGTAATGTTTTACATAAAACGAAGTTGCTTCCGCTGTTTATTTGCTTAGATCTTTTAAACTACGCAACGGATTTTAATGCAGTTTTTAGCAATAGATATAGTGATTTAAGAGGAAGGTTTATATATATAATACATGTATACCCGTGCGAAGGCAGGGCGGGTAGCTAGTACAAAATAACAAGGTACACAATAAATGGGACTTTGATAAAATAATAGATAGAGCGTTTTACACAATAAATGGGACTTTTAAAAAATAATAAGGTAAACAATAAACGGATTTTAATGCAGTTTTTAACAATTGATAGAGCGATTTAAGAGGAAGGTTTATATCTATAATACATGTATACTCGTGCGAAGCCAGGGCGGCTAGCTAGTATAAAATAATAAGGTACACAATAAATGGGACTTTAAAATTGCGCAACGGACTTTAATGCAGTATTTGGTTATAGATAGAGCGATTTAAGAGGAAGGTTTATATCTATAATACATGTATACTCGTGCGAAGGCAGGGCGGGTAGCTAGTACAAAATAACAAGGTACACAATAAATGGGACTTTGAAATTACGCAACGGACTTTAATGCAGTTTTTGGTTATAGATAGAGCGATTTAAGAGGAAGGTTTATCTGTATAATACACATGTATTTTACAGATAAACCTTTATAAAATAAATATTTACATAATAACAAAAGGGAACTAAGGTCGGATAATACAGGGTTGATAGGGACAAAATCCCTCGGCAATAGAAACCTTTCTGTCACACTAGCAGATAGTCTTGTTACGATATGCGGATCATGAATATATTGAAATTGTACTCATTGTGTTATTATTCTGCATCATGGAAGAGTCAACTCTACAAAATCATGTCTTATAATTATAAAATCTGCTTATAGTTTTGGATATAAACCATACTAATATTTTAGTAATATAATAAATAGTGTATTATGTGTGCCACCTACCCTATTCTATGTACATAAGTCCTCTCTTCTAGGTTGTCAGTAAGAGATTGCTTTTAGCGATAAGACAGCTTTTTGTAATTATTTTACTATTTACTGTATTTTATTATTATTTTATGTGTACACAATAAAGAGTTTTATTATGATTATTATTATACAAAAATTCTCATCTCCACTCTTAAGGAGAGGAGAATTTTTGAATCCCAACCGTCTGAGATGTTGTTCCAGATTCTTATTATTATTGTAAATGTTTGTTTGAGAGAAGCTGCGGGCAAAAGCTAGTTTAATGATAAATTTCAAGTAAGTGTGATTCAGACGAAGATGCGCGGGTTAGCTAGTGAAAATTACAAATATGCGAAATTTCATACTCCTCTATTCGCGTAATTTTCGTAAAAATGGGTACAAAATTTTTGCTTCAATCACAGATCACATAATATTACATACTTCATGTATTTAATATAATATCTCTATACCTATATATAATGCGTCCACCGTGCCAGTCGCACGGTGACGGTACGGTCAGTGCAAAAACTAATTGAACTGGGCCCAGTGTCTCGGCCCGCTTCCCACGCCTCGCCGGCCTTATTTGCGGACGGCACCGCTCGTCCTGGTTTGTCATAGGAACCAGTCGGTTTCCATGGCCCTCTTGAGTTTTTTTTTATAATTTTATTTGTCTCTCTACTGCTTTTATTATCACATTTTTATAAATATGTTATCTAGTACTTCAGCCGCGATTTGATACGGCCAAAGTTTTAATTGCTTAATATATTCCTCTGGAGCGGATGCTAAATTATCGTAATAAATACATATATATTATATTAAATTATAGTTATATACGTACGTAAATGAATAAATATATATTTCTTTACAAGTCAAATGGCCCTCTTGAGTTATGAACCGCCTAATTAGAAAGTTTCCACTGCTTGTGGCGATATTGTATTCATGAGTATGATTGTTTGTATTGGTCTGGGTGTATTCTATGTATGTTTGGGAAACTACTCTGCTACCAAAATGTTAGGGAATTTACTATGTCTGTCACGTACCTGTATGGTTCTGCGGATTTCTTGGGCTTCAGGGTCTCGAAGGTATCTTCGCTAGCTTTCCAGTTTCACAGTAGGTTTCACAGTTCTAATTTATTTTAATTCACAACAAATGCGCGCGCGCGTCAAGGCCGCTGTACGGTCCGTTTGTTACTAGGTGAGGGAGGGGAAGGCAAAGCGCGGGAACACAAACTAACGGACTCTAATATAATAATCCGTGCCCACGATGGCACAGGGTAGATTTTGAACAATGTATATTATGTAGTAGCTATGCCCGCGGTTTCAGCCACGTGAAATTTGAAGCCTATATGTTATTCTGATATACAAGTTATATCACTGTAAAGTTTCAACAAAATCCTTTCAGTAGTTTTTGCGTGAAGGAGTAACAAACTTCCATCCATACTCACAAACTTTCGCAGTTATAATATTAATAAGATGTTAAACAAAAAAATGTATGGCGGCATCCAGTGCCAAGATAGGCAGAGCTCGTCTTACGGGTACTAAATATATCAGTTGTATTGTACCCACAACACTAGCTTTCTTTAGCTTGGGATTAGATGATTTATTTAAAGCTATTATTATATCGCGTTTTCTGCACGCGTTCTTTTATTACATTTTGCATTTATCGGTATTGCTGGAATGGCAACACTCTCCTGATGGTAAATGGTAACCGTCACGGTACATATCATGTGAACATGCTTCACCGTTCCAGAGGAGTAAGATGTCAAGTCTCCTACGACTAAGATGAAAATCAACCTGTGTTATATTTACAAGTCTACTTAAAAAAAAAGTTTTTCTTTTATCGTTAACTAGCTACTCGCCACGGCTTCGCACGGGTGTACATGTATTAGATATATAAACCTTCCTCTTGAATCACTATTAATTATATATAATATCCGTATAATTGAAGTTCTAAAATGATATATAATAGGTATAATTGAAGTTCTATACTAGGTATAACACGCATGTATAATACCTTCCTCTTGAAACAGTCTATGTATTACTGAAAACTGCATTAAAATCTGTTGTGTAATTTAAAAGACAAGCAAATACTACTGCTACCAACATCTTTGACAGATTAGACGTTGTAACAGTTTGGCTGAACAGTTTATTACTTTTGGTCGCTGGTTTGATTCCTCGCAATCATACTCATGGAGTACATAAATAATATAATTGTTTGTATTATTTTGTTTTGTAACATTTTATTGTACACGACAGATTTTAATGCAGTTTTCAGTAATACATAGAGTGTTTCAAGTGGAAGGTTTCTATGTATAATACATACGTATAGGATAGAAGAAGTTTAGAACTTCAGTTATAGCTATTATGTATCATTACATAGTATAAAATAAAATCTCTGTCGCTGTCTGTCCGTCCATATGTATGCCTAAATCTTTAAAACTACGCAACGGATTTTGAAGAGGTTTTTTAATGGATAGAGTGATTCAAGAGAAAGGTTTATATATATATAATACATGTATACCCGAGCGAAGCCGGGGCGAGTAGCTAGTGGACATTATATCACATGGAGTGTCAATTGCAAGTTCATAATATGTAATAGTCCTAATATCAATTGGACGGTCTCAGTGGTCCAGCGGTTTACTTTCCTTACTTCCGATGATTGCGTGTTCAATTCGTCGAACGGTGCAAACATTTGTATTAATATGTATGATTGTGGGTATATCTGGGTGTATTTTATTAATATCTATAATACAATCTCTACTTATCTTGGGACTAGATGGTGCTGTTTGAATAGTCCTGTGTGCCTATATCATTAGATTTGTTTCACCGGCTTTTGACAAATTTCTATTGAGCCTTTCAAACTGCCAATCGTTAATTGTTAAACTCATTACCTTCTAGTTATCTAGGCTAGTTGTATATTGTATGACAATAGGTATTGGACTCTAATAATCTTAGTTCACTCACCTCCATCGTTCTTGGAAAGCGTTTAACAATAGACTTTCGTCTATACACTTGGTTCGATTGATTTTTTCTAACGCATTAATTCGTTTCTTACAAATAAGTTCGCGTACAGTAATTCGCATTTCTTATTGCTAATATTACTTTATTCGGGGGGAAAGATTGTTAGTAATGTGGACTAGCCCCATTGCTAGCAATGTACCATGTCTGGATGACCTCCACGTGATTCCCCCTGGACACCATCGTGATAAATTCTTGGTGAATTTACCATGATAGGCTAACTGACCTGACCTCACCTCATGCTCATCTTATCATCCTATCCTCCATTGATGCCCCGTAACCCGTTAGCACAGACGGGTGCATCATTCCATTATCATCCATAACAAAAAATAGTACTTTATGTAGTTAGTACAATCTCCTTGGAATTACCACAGCATCAACCCTTCGCAAATCCAAACTATCACGTTTACTTAACACTTGCAACATTCCCACTCACCACAAACATAAAGACGCTTAACAGTCTCATCTCACTAAACTTTCACCGGACTCGCGTGTGGCATTGTGAACACAACCGGCCGACACCACGGCTATTCACCAACTGACTTTCGCATTGCCAAGGACTGCATTAACTGCACCTCAAGGAAAGTCATGCACTTGTCGTCAATCAAAAGTCGGGATAAGCAATTGTATTGGATTAACGGTCTGAACTGCGCGCTTGTTTGTAAATACGCCGTTTCTAAACGACGTGTTTGGAGTTTTTATTGCAATGTTGTTTGTTTGTGTTGACTTATCTTGTTTACAATTTTTTTAAATAGATGTTTATGGCATGGTACTCCTGCCTGCGCTAACGGTTTATGCTAGTAGGGCATAAATGGAGGATGATAAGATCAACCTGACATGGAACATTACTGGAGATGAGGTTATCAGTTCACATTCCTAACAATACCCCTTCCTCCATGTTTATTAATATTTAATAGTTCTTGTTGGAAGAATCAAATAAATAATGCAAGATATAAAGTTTCTAGGATTGCGATAGGATTGTATTAAAGAAGTTATGAGTAGAGAACACGTTTGCCAAGAATTTTCATAAACAGGCATTTCTTGTAGTTGAATTATTGTAGATCATATTTTTTAGACGTTTTACGAAATAAAATTTCGATCATCTAATTGCATTGAATTAAATGTGGTCCTGTTAGAAGTATTTATGAAGATAATTACCGTAATCTTAGAGAGGCACGTAAAATTAATCAAACAAAATTCTAATCACAATCCGATAGATGGATATATATCCAATTAGCTTTACAATCTAAGCAACTTAATTCGATACGATAGTATATTAGAATTAAGATTTAACATCATCATCAGTAATTGGCTCGTTGGATACGAGATTTGCGAGCCGATGCCCATCTTCATTCGGCCCGCCTCTGCATTAATCACTATAATTATTTTATTTCCCGCTGCCGGTGATCGCGTTGTAAATTCATACGATGTAAAAATTAGGTTCCGCTTGCCAAGAAAGAGTGTATTCGCCTGAGTAGGTCAGTCGAGTAATCGCGTTTGCCAGCCACTGTCTGCGTCCGTCGCTCTCTGCCTTACCGCGCTTCGTGTTGTGCGAAAGGGACGGGGTGAGATGCGCGTGCGCCGCACCGTTATCCCTCGACGATATCTTGAATGGAGATGGCGTTTTCTCCCGCACCAAAACAATGGCGCGAGTTGCTAATTGACCTGCACTGCTCGGAAATCGAAAGGCGTACTTTAATTAAATTAATTAAGAGAAGTAAATTTGTGTCATGTTTTAACATTAGTATGTAAGTGTATTGCGTTTGCTGTGAGCCGAATACGGTAGTGTCCGGTACTGGCCTGATTTTGGAGATATAAGTACATCAGTATTCTATGAATAACTTGCAATAGTTTGTAGTGTATACGCGAAACGGTTAGTTACACTCTCAGGTTGATGTCCATCAATGAGGTTAAGCGACGTTGAGTATGTTGATACTCAACGTCGCGTTGTCTTGTGTGTGAGCATTTACAAGTAGGAGATTGTTAGTAATAAACACTTGGTCTAATGCTACATTAGCTAGACTTCTACATTGTACAAGTAGCAACAATAGCGGTTTGTTCTTTAGGATTTTGCTACGGTGAGCTAGTAATATAGTTATATAAATATTCTGGATAAATTACACAGCGCCATCTAGTTACGGAGTGCTTATATTGTGGTTACTACCACTGAGTGAGTCCCCAGTCTACTTCTGGTATATCTGTTTCTCCGTTTAAACCGCTCAAGGGATTTTGATACGCTTTTTTCTACTTTAGGCAAGATTTTCGGGTTGTATGTATACTAATAATAATGATAGACACTATACACAGCGTAATCTAGTCAACAGCAAAGCTTGCGTTATTGGTACTGAAGAACTAATATAAATATCAGATACATTTCATGTAAAAACATAGAATATACCGACCAATATTAATCATACTCAGGAGAATACAACTATTTGCACCGTTGCGAGGAATCGAACTCGCGACAATCGGAAATTTGACGGTGTGCTAAACTGTTAGACCATCCAGTCTGTCTATAGGTAAGACTAAAGAATCCAAGTTGAGTTTTTAGCTAATCTACTTCTTCAAACTGTACCCACGCAAACAACTTCACAGGGAGGGGCGAGGATCCTTAGTAATGCAGATTGATGATCTTACTGCTAGCAATGTACCATGCCAGTTTGACCTCCACGCGGTTCCCCCTGAAAACCATCTTCATAAATTCTTGGAGAAATTGACACGATGATCTGATCTCATGGTCATCATCTACCACTTTTGCCCCGCCAGCTTAAACCGTTAGCACAGGCAGGTGCGTCATTCCATTATTATCCTTGAAAATAAACAACTATACACAATCTCCGTCTAGTTACCGTCATAAGGAGTTAACAAAGCTAATATGTCATTGTAGCCGGACCATTAGCAATAATGGGTGGTAACTGTGCAAATATTGGACGCGAATGCGAAATTAACTTGTATGCACATGTCTACGTGCCACTTGTTTGTATAGATGTGTCTGCGTTGATTGCACACTGTAGAAAGTATGGTGAAACTACATTGGATATAGCCTGCTGGACAAATATACTTGAATGCACTTTCGTTTTTCAATATTGGACTTTCTCAAGGAAAAAAAATGAGTAAACAAACTTTCAAAATCCTTTATATAACATTGTCCAATTAGCATATTATTTTATTGCAGTTGTATGCAAATATATAATAAAGTTGTTGTTATACTGTTTTATATATAACTTTTGAGCAATATTGTAATTTGTACAATATTAAACTTAAGGTAAGAATATAATGTTCAGAAACTAATGATGCAACGGCTTTTTCCCAAATGGGACACTTCTTTGTTGGTATACAATTTAGAAGTATTATAGAGTTTCATGATCTATGATACACTTCTCTCTGGCACCTATATAATAACTATTAATGTTTATAAAATAAAAATAATTAATAAAATTATATTTAAAACATACTATTTAATAATAATATTTAAAATATAAAAAAATATGTTGTAGATGGCTAATCACACCGATCTTTATAGTCTAAACTAGCTTTTGCCTGCGGCTTCGCTCGCGTTAATCCCCTTAGGGGTGGAACTTATCAAAATCCTTCCTTGGGGGATGCCTACGTCATAACATCTACCTGCATGATAAATTTCAGCCCGATCGGTCCAGTGTTTTGGGCTGTGCGTTGATAGATCACTACGTCAGTCACCTTTGAGTTATATATATTTAGATTTGTATCGAAGTTTATAATTCTGTCCTTGTACAATTTTGTTTTTGTTTCGCTTCTTTACAATCGTACAACTCATATATCTCTGTTCTTCGAGTATTTTTCTTGTTTATTTATTTATCTTTATAAGTATCAAAAGATATGTTATCAGCAGGACACAACAAAAATAAGCTCGGCTTAATATATGAATAAATATAAAATTGTTCCTTTGAATAACTTAGAACAATGCCGAAATATCGGGAACTCAATAAAAATTAAATGTGGTAAGATCCCGTAATTTTTACTAATTATACATATAAATAACGACCGCTTCAAATTTAAAACTGTATACTGTAATAATTTAGAGAAACCTGTGGCCTGTGGAGTGGCAGAAATTTAAGTTTATAAATGACAAGAACAAATTAGAACATAAAGATTACGCCTCGAAACATAAAATAGTAGATATAATGAAAAATATATTGCAATTTGGTATGTATTATTGCTAAATAAGTATTGAATGTCAAAAAAAAAAAAACAATTATATTTTCCTTAAGTATATTTCCACAAAAAGTATGAACCTGCATATCTCGTATAATCAGAATAGTCCAGAGTGTCCATTAGCATATACAAAGTACAACGTATACTAATATATGTAAGTACATCAGTTCTATTGACTAATCAGACACTGCCAGAGTCTGATAATCTATAAAATAGAAATACAAATCTGATTACCCTTGACCCTGCTAGAAAATAATACATTTCTTCTTTACAGTGTTACGTATAGAATACTACGTATAATAATTCTTCTTTTTAAAAATCTTGAAATGCTGTCTAATTTCTGTTACTTCCGTTCGTCAGTAACCTAGAATATCAACCAACAATCAGTCGTTGCCTCAATAAAATCCTACGACTGTCGCCCAATATCATCTCTCAAGTCAAATAGTGACTCAGCGTTATTTAGTTCCAGTTACATTGTATGTATACACATTATACTTCTTTTATTAAGACATTTCGTAGCTTTGTCCAAAATTCTTCCTTATTATTTTCATCCCACTGATGGTAAATTTTAGTTTTCATCAAAAATTTTAGAGTGGTCGTTAAATATTTGCTCTCTATTTCTCCAATTTTAATAAGTACAAGTGGGTCATATGTAGTGCCATCTTCTAGAAATATTCTATGATATTCGGCTAACTGTGTTTCCCATCTGCACCACTGAGATCTTGCAAAACTGTTACTTATCAACAACACCACATATTTACTCTCGTTAATACTCGATAACACTGATTCGGAGATGAACGAACCTATCTCAAAATCACGCTCGTAAATGCATAGTTTTAAATAAGGCGGATTTTCTTCTAAATGAGATATGATCTCAGAAATAAATGCTCTGTCCTCGTTGGAGTAAGAAACAAATGCATCATACTTGTATTTTTTAGGCGCGTTCTTACCAGCCTTTAAAGAACTTCTTATAAATTTCCTACCTAATGCTATCTTAGCTAAGAACAACCAGTATCTAATATAGATTCGGTATTTGTATAAAGTTGTAACTATAACTGCTAATAATGTTAAGGTAACCAAAGAAGGCGCAGTCCAAATAAATACCATAACATTGGAAATTTTATTGTAAACAGAACACTGTAATTTTTTCATGGAAGCCATATAATCACTAACTTTTTTATATTCCCAAACGTCTGGGCTACTGCACTGAAACTTGGCATTAGAAAAATAATGTTTCAGTGCTATTGATCCATTTAGTTCTAACCATAATGCAGTCTCATACATTGTGCTACAATCGCACGTGAAAACATTGTCCATAAAATCAATTTTTACTGATTGATTATGTCGGTCTTCTAATAAGTAACTGATATCTTGTATCATGCTGACCGTAAAGTGGGAAATTTTATTATTAGTTAAGTATAGTTGTAATGGTTTTACTCCTGCTGTTAAAAACAGAGGCTTCCACCACGATATCAAAAGATTTCCGCTCAAATCAAGAACTTGCAGAAATTTTAATGGTTTCAATGTCTCAGCAGAAATAAAGTACAATTGGTTATTTCTAAGTATCAGATGTAATAACCGCGGCATCATTTCAAAAATATTATCATCATCGTTAAAATTTTTAATGCCACAATTTGATAATATTAAAACTTTCAACTCATTTAACCCCTCGAATTGGGCGCTTGTGAAATTATTTTCATTTACATTTAAAGGGTTATTTGCTAAGTTAAGTATTTGTAGATGTCTAGTAGATTTGAATGTGCCTGGCCCAATATAATATAATGTACCATTTTCCATATCTAACATTTTAAGATTATCTAAACCACGAAATGTATAATCATATATAGATTTGATCATGTTAAATCCAATATTTAATATTTTCAAACTCTTTGTGTCCTGGAAAGTATCTTTATCAATTTCATAATACATTGGATTTTCAGAGTTCCCTTTATTATTAGACAGATCTAAAAGTAGCAATTGACCAGAAAGTGGCTTTCTGTGCACACCAGGCAAATTGTTACCACCTAGTAGTAAAATCTTGAGATTCGGAAACTTACGAGGTTCAAAAGTATTTGGTCCTATTGAAATGGCAAATACTTTCCTCAGATCCAGCAGTTCTATATTAACCATTTCAGGAAATGCATCATCAGGAATGATTTCAAATTGGTTTTGAGCTAAAATGAGCATTTTAATAGTAGTGTGAGCAATTATATTCATTAGTTCTTTTGGTGGATTTTTTCGAAAACCCATAGCAGATAAATCTAGATAAGTTAAGTTAATATTAGATTTTGACATATTGGTTAAAAAATTGCCTATTAAGGCCGGGTCTAAGTCATTTTCCCCTATATGCAATTTTTTCAATTGCGTCAGTGGCAGAAAGCTATTGGGATGAATGAAATCCAGTCGACATAAACAGATATCCAACTTTTGTAATAGAGTTCCACGCATTGGATGGAATGCATTCTCGGGTATTTCTTCCAGATTATTTTTAGACAAATCCAATGATTTTAATAATGGCAGTATACTCGGCGTGAAAGCTGGTGTTAGTAGTCTTATATTGTTGAAATTATTATTTACCAATGTTAAATTTCTAAGATTCGTCAATCCTTCAAACGTTTTATTTCCTATTACTCGTAACGCTGTATTATATGATATGGACAAGTGTTCCAGATTGCTTAAATTCCGAAAAGACCCAGGCTCTATATAAGTTAACTGATGATTTGCCTCTATGTCTAATATTTTCAAATAGTAAAAAGCATCCAGATCACCAACGTGTATATATCTGATGGACGTTGTCCTCACTTTTAGAAGATCACTCTTCATCATGAACTGTAACAATGATTTTAATGTTAATTATTCGTTCAAATTGGTCTGTAATGAGGTGATTCCTATAAACTATTTATTAATAAGATAATTTTCTTTAATAACCATCATGCTGTTTGTATTCTTTGTTTGTATGTTTGTGTCTAGCGAGTTTTCATTCGACAGCTGTTAGACCATAGTTTGTTTGCCATTTTAAAAACAGGTAACCTGACGTTCCATTGTCTTATCTTTACATAGTCGTCGCGGCTGTCTGTACGCTTAGATATTTTAAATTACGTAACGAATTTTAATACACTTTATAAATCAAGTGATCCAAACGGAAGGATAATATATATAATAGATGCAAATTTAAAAACCAAGAAACTTAAACTTTTTAAATGCACCCGTGTAAAGTCGGTATGGATCGCTAGTTAGTTAGTAACAATATTGTGTATATTAATTATTTCAATAATGCTGGACAGCGTAGCTGTGGCTTCCTGAAGTGCGTATATAACTTTACCACTACTATGAGTAGGTTGATTTGGTTATAGATATAAAAATATTTAACCGCACAATGGTATAAATATGGGTCCGATTAATTTATCCGCATGAGAGCTTTTTGCATTTACAGATATTTAAAAATAAGAACAAACCCGTGGAAATTTCTTGCAGTCGTAGTTCCCAAAGCAAACTACAGTTTTGCGATTATAGGTCGCTCGGCATAGACAACCAGACGTCGGTTCGACTCCAAGATGGATGGGAAGCGACAGGGACTGTGGGCCCTCCTGACCCAGAAACCGGTTGGACAGTTCCTCAACGTTTTCATCGATTAGATTGCTTCTAGCATTTTGAGCGTAGCACAGAAGCAGCCAGAGGTAACTTGCGAATACCATAACTTAAGACGTAATCTGTAATGTATGAAAACATCTTTATAATGATAAATTTAACAATACATATATATATATAAGTTTGTCTGTCAGTTTTACATCTTTTGACATGAAGGCGGCACAGGGTATCTTTTAATTAAAAAAAGCAATGGATGTCGCTGGATAAAGGTAGTTCAAAATATCTGAAACTTTTTAAAGGGTCGACGAAAAAAATGGAGCCATAGATAGTGCAAAGAATAATTGTTTGTTTGTAACTATATGTATATGTAATATGGTCTTTGTTTAAAGTTTTATATCGCTAGCATCAAATTGTTTAATTATTCTTAAAATATGATGATTAAAGAGACGGTAGTAAACTCACTTTCGCACTTTAGGAATCTGTACATATCTGTGCCAATCCAGAGAGCAAATGTATTTTGATAAGTCGTAAAGATTAATTCGTTGATATATTAATCAAACTAAAACGAAATCTTACGATGTTTGTAAACTGATAAACGGATGCTGTAAACGTTATCTGAACAGGCAAGATAAATAATATCTCCTAACAGTAGAATAGGGAAATATTATTAGAGTATCTAATGCATGATAATAGAATTTATGAGCATACTATAAAGGGTATACTATACTTGAAGTGACAAGAAAACACAATGAAACATTCTGAATTTACCATACAACAACAATTTTTTAGCAAATAAACATGTTTCCAGTTTCAAATGTACGCTTTGAACAAAGTCGTCTCTGAGGGTAATTTGGTGTTATCTAGTTCTGCCGTCAAGAAGCTTACTTTCAATATTGTATTATAAACTTTGATGAGCAAGATGGTATTGATATTATAGACTACGTAGGCATAACTCCTTAGTGTTCAGAAATGGTAATCTCTTAGTGCTACTACGAGCTTCAACTGACGACGTAATGTGTGTAGAATATATTATAACAAGTAATGAAAATAACAATCAGAATATATTTATCCATATACGTCTACTACAGACTCTTAAGATAACATCAGATCTACCGTCATTTGGAATTGTTTCCGAGCTAAGAAGAACTGACAAGAAACTCAGCCTTTATTCTTTTTAAAGGGGCTTGTACATGATTAATTTATTTCTCCTAAATATTCCATTTATTTAGTCCCATCCATATTTGTATATGGATGGGACTAAATAAATGCAATATTTTTGGTTAATAAAAATACAAAGCTATTATGACCAACCATTGGTTTCCCAGCAAACCAAGAAGTACCAGCTCGTCCAGCCTGAGTTACGAACATTTTATTGACGACAGTTATTACTTTACCGTTTGTTACACCAGATGTCAGTCTTATATATATATATATATATATATAGTATTTTTATATAATCATTTAGTATCCAGTAAACAAATAATAAATAATGATTGGATGTTATTTGCCTTTATAATTACTTTATAAACTAACGCCTGTCCGTGACTTCTTCAGCGTACCTATGATTGACTGGAAATTGTCTCCATGCCAAATGATATGTAGGTATGTCGAATATCATGATAATTGATTAAATCGTAAAAGTGTTACAAAATTAATTACTTTTACTTTACATTCTGTATATGTCACCTAAATATCTGTAATATTAAAAAAAAACCCTAATGGAGATGTTTTTCATTTCATTACGTTTGATATTTTATCTAAACATCCGTAACATTTCAGTATGAATGGATAAGTTTATTAAAAAAAACTTAATGATTTCCTTTTGATGGTTTGAGCTCTCAGAAAGTAATTTAAACCCGTATAAAATGCATCGGCATGAGATAAACTGAAATATAACAATGTAAATATTCACAAAGATTGTACTTTCAATATTGCGTCTTGGTAGAAGACGAGGGCCTGAACAAAGTTACGCAATAGTATTCATATACGTTTTATGTTTTCTACTTTCCGAACTTTAAAAAGATTGAAATGTTTCCTAAGATTTAATAAACTTATGTCACTATAGATGTTATTTATTCATGGAAAAACAAACCTTATATCCCAACAAGGAAGCGCAAATAGAATCCAATATCCAACTTCCACAAGACATTGTTAGCACTGTTCTTCACTTATCAACCGTTCCATATTTTGGCCAATTTCAGCATTATTGATCACTGATTTTAAAGTATTCCGTACTTCAGTTCCGTTGTTACAGGCAGCCGAATATAGACTCGTGTGATCTCCAATGTTTTCCAAGCAACCATTAGTCCATGAGTATTTACACGAGATATCTGTATAAAGATAACGTCACGTCGTCGCACAGAGGCTCTAATTTGTCAATGCTGTTTTTGATTGAATTTCTTGTTTACAATTGTGGGCCCTTTGCATAAGTCTTTAATGCTTTATAGAGTTAGCACACACTTATTACTACTTACAGATCATCACGATAGTCATCATCAGTCTGAATAGAGCAGCCAGAGTCATTACTAACTTTCGTCGTTGTGGTGAATATTTGACAATCCTTCATACTAGCTGTTATCCGCGATTTCGTCGTCTGAAATAATTTTATTTTCCATTTCGTCCCCTTACAAATTACTATTTAATCGTTTCCAAAAAAGAAGCAGTCAAATCGGCTGTATTTTTAAATAGAAATAGGAAAAGAAATAATCTTTATTCAAACAAACTTAATAAAGCACTTTTGAATAGTCAAGTTTTTTTATTCTACCGCTTATTCGGAATGCAGATTCATCACAAGAAGAATAAGCAAGAAACTTGTGTGTTGCTCTTTTAAATAAATATTGATTTAATTATATTTAGTTAACAACAAATAATTAAAGTGTTTGTTATTACATAACTCCGTCATTTACAAACGAATTTATAGTAAAAGAAAACTTTTTTATTTTAAAGTGACTCTGAATGCTTGTTCTTTAAGTGTAAACTATAAGATTGGTCCCATTTTTTATTTGAGCTTTTGAGGTAGTTATTTTAAGAAAATTAATAAGATATGTAATAACATATGTCGGTTCTTGTGATATCAGTAGATATGGGAATAAGACTTTTTATAATTTTTTGACGAATAAATTTATTTTAATATTTTTAAGATTCGCCATTAAAAATACATGCAATCCCAAATTTTCACCTTTCTACTATCCAAGGCTAAGCCCAATTTCAATTTAAGCCAAGCCTCTCAACGGTCGTTAAAAACTTTTTGCCTCGCACAACCACATTGTGGAATCACCTTCCAGCAATGGTATTTCCGAACCGATACGATATTGAAACCTTCGAGAAAAGAGCTTATTCCTTTTTAAAAGACCGACAACGTACTTGCAATTCCCCTGGTGCTGTGGGTGCTCATGGGCGGCGGTAATCACTTACCATCAGGTAAGCCGTATGCTTGTTTGTCCCCTGTGATATAAAAAAAAAGTAAAAATGTTTACTGTTCAACGAAGTGGGCACGGATAGTTAGTAATTATGTATACATATTACTAGCTGACGACAGCCTTGTGGTTTGCATACTCCCGAGGGTTGCGAGTTCGATTCCACGCACGGTAGAGACATTTGTATTTATGAGTATCATTGTTTGTCTGGATGTATTCTATGTATATTATGTATTGATTTACAAAATGAAAGTATCCATGTATTTATATCAGTTGTCTAGTACCCATAACACAAGCTCTGCTTAGCTTGGGACTAGATGGCGCTGTGTGAATTATCCTGAGATATTATTATTATTATATTATTATGTTGTTATTAATATGATCTTTGGGGGAGGCCTATGTCCAGCAGCGGACGTCTTCCGGGCTGCGATGATGATGATGATGATGATTAATATGTTTGAATTAAAAAAAAAAATCTATCACCTTTTCAATCCTGGTACTTGATAGCGGTGTGTGAATTGTCTAGGGTTATTATTATTATTATAACCCCACCTGAGGAAAGCCAGAGCAGGATGCTATATATACATATAGGTACCTATTACTTTTATTTAGGTGTCTCGTGACAGGTTAGGACGCTAGCTGACACGCAGTGAATGTAGAACAGTTCAGTTTACGGTGGTATGGAGAGTGTCGCGGTAAAATTCCGTGAACTGCCAATATCCGAGCAATTAAAAACGTGTCTCTTGACTCGAGCCTTCCAATAGTTGTACAGACAGACATACAGATACCTATCACTAGTATTTATTTTTTATTTTTTTTATTACTAGCTGAGCCCGCGTGGTATTTAACTTTATTTTTTTAAATAAATTAGCCTAAGTTACTCCTTATTACCAATAAAAATCCTGCCCATAAAAGTCCCGTCAAAATTGGTCGATAGAAAACAGAGGTATCATAAAAAAATCTAAATATGTATAACGTTATTTATTAAATTTTTAAAAGTTATATGACACGATGTATATAAGGTAATATATACATACTAAACTTGTAATCTACTGTTTGGTATTGGATATTCTCTGCACCCAACTCTTATATATTTGAATTATTTTAGATCAGATATATATTATATATATATATTATATATATAATATTTGATGCCACTGAACAAATTTTAAATAGTATTACGTATATCCTATAATAACAAACAATCAATAATTTAATAAGAATGTTAACAGCGATTAATTTTAATAATTTATAGACAATGCACATATCATCGCAATAACAAAGTAAAAAATAATGTAATGTGTTGGACTTGATATTTTCTCTGTTTATTTAATTTAATTTTTATATAGTCAACAACTGTGTTTTTATGAAATCAAACTAAAAAATCTTAATTAGTCTGATATGTCAAACTCACTGATCTGTAATAGTTAATAATTATTTGGCAATTCTTTTGTGGACTCCCGCGATACAGGATCGCCTAGTGCGGGGTCCAATGTATGTATAATAAATTTTGTAATATTTACGTATGTACGTTTTAAAAAATGAATAAATGATTTCATAAGATAAGGATCGGTATTAGCATAAAATAAAAAAATCACTTAATTTTTACTATAGTATAATTTATTTGAAACTAATAGCGTTTTGTCCCGGAGAAGACCTAGACATCTATATTACAAGTTTCAACTCAGTTTAGACTCCAAATGATCGTAAGGAATAACTGGTTTCTTACTTAAATGCAACTATAAATAATATTACTAGCTGTACCCGTGACTTCGTCCGTGTGGAATTTAACTTCATTTTTCTGGAATAAAAGTAGCCTACGTTACTCCTTATTACATCAGCTACCTGTCAAAAAAAGTCCCATCAGAATCGGTCCAGCCATTTCAGAGATTAACCGACACAAACAGATAGACAGATAAAAATTTTAATAAATGTTATTTTGGTGTAATGTACCGTATTTATATTCATATGTTGTAAAGAACGGTTATTTCAATATTACAAACAGACACTCCAATTTTATTTATATGTATATATATTTTATTTGTCATGTTCTAGAACGTTCTATAAAGGTAATGGTAAAGCGGTAGATAAGTTTCTGATGAGTTCGTCCATCTGCACTAGGTTGATCATCGCCTGCTGCAGGAGTTGACCCTCGGGTAGCTCTGGAGGCTCGTGTCTCAGTAAACCCGCAGATTCCTTTAGGATTTTCCTTGATTCCTGTAACAATTAAATTATTGAAAATGAGCAATTATAAATATACATATATAATTAATTTCATGTTAATTTTATATATGTATGTAAGTATTATATCTATAAAAAGGAAAATTTTGTTGTTGAAAACACCCAGACCGATACAAACAATCATACAAATGTTTGCACCGTGCGAGGAATCCAATCCGCGACAATCGGAAGTAAAGCCGTGTGCTAAACCGCTAGACCACCAAGGCTGTATAATGTATAAAATTCCTAAATTAATAAAAAAACTAGAAAAAAAACATGCATTTGACACACAACACACACATGTGTACATTTATACTACTCTATTACTACGACCCTACTATCTTTTACAATAAATTAATTAGCTTAAAATCAATTATGGCTAAATTTTAATCTTTTATATTGATGTTTGGAAATTGAGCAAATGTTTTAAGAGTCTGTAATAGACCCACATGACGTTTTAGGACGAGAGGATTGTTTTGTTATTTATAAAACATCACTACTCTCATTGTTGTTATCTTATAACATTGTTTAACGTTTTCATTACTTCAATTATACGCTGTTTTGTCAATTTTAATCATTACATAGTATAATACAAAGTCGCGGTCACTGTCTGTCCGTCCCTATGTGTGCTTAAATCTTTAAAACTACGCAACGGATTTTAAAGCGGTTTTATTAATATATATAGAGTGATTCAAGAGGAATGTTTATATATATAATACATTTACACCCGTGCGAAGTCGGGGCGAGTATCTAGTAACATTATAAACGCGAAATTTTTGAGTATTGATGTCTGTTACTCTTTTACGCAAAAACTTCTGAACGGATTTTGATTAAACTTTACAGTAATATAGCTTATGCATTAAAATACACTACATATAGGCTATATTTTTTATTGACATTTAACCCGTGTGAAATCGCGGGCACGCCTAGTATAACATAATTGTACTTGAAATATAGCATTTAAAATCAGTTAAATTATTTCTATATGGTATCTAGTTGTGTCATTCAATTTAATTTGTATTGCATTTACTTCTTTTTAGAACTATTCCAATACTGTTGGCCGCAGCTGGCATTTATAGTTTTCACCGAACGATAGGGGACGAGTGCAGATGGGACTCCAAACCCGCGGTAGGACATATGGAGTGGCTGAAGACTAACTCCTGCCTGACGGATACGACTTTAGTCTGAGGACACCGCTAGGTATTCGAATATGGCCTTCGGTCGTCGTAATTTTGATCCTCGTTTGAATTGGACGGGGGATCGATCGGAGAGGAAATGTATCCACACAAGTTTTCTGTACGATTGGAGATACAATAATAATGGGATATACTAACCGTAACGTGTCCAAGAAGAACCATAGGGCCATCAGTTAGCGATTTCCGTCTGCCGGCCTCCGCTACTGCAGCGTGCAACTCATACAGCAATGATCCACGAAGCCTGGTTTCCGCTGAAACACAAATTCATCATTAGTTTTTTATATAATTAAAATTGTAAACAAGCAGATCACCTGATGGTAAACGGTAATCGTTGCTTATATACATGAGCAGTATAGAATAGAAAATAATTTATTCAAATAAACTTAATTGAAGCACTTTTAAATAGTCATAACATTTTTTTTAATCTACCGCTCATTCGGAAAGTTGTCTCATCACGAGAAGAACGAGCAAGAAACTTGTGTGTTGCTCTTTTAAATAATCCTTGTAAGTTCACAGTACTACAGTACTGCGGATATCACGTTATCATGTGACACCCGTGATACTACTCATGCATTGCCATTTCAGAGGACTAAAATATCTTGCCTCTTATAGACTGTAGCTTCTCTGCCTAGTCTACCCCCCGATGACCCCATAATGGCAGGAAACCTCCCCACGGGTACACCCGTTCCACCCCGACCACACTTTTACACACACACACGACACCGTCCTCGCCGGCGAAGACGACGACCTCAAACACACAATATCGCGCATTCAACCGGGCGCCTGCGCGCGCCCGGGCGCTCCACACCGGCGCCCCCGGGCGCCCCGCCGATCGATCCCCCGTCCAATTCCAACGGGGATCGATATTACGACGGCCTGAGCCGAGGTTCGAACCCCTAGTGGTGCCCTCAGACTAAAGTCGTATACGTCAGGCGGGAGTTGGCCTTCAGCCGCTCCATAAGATCTTCCGCGGATTTGGAGTGCCATCTGCACTCGCCCCCTAACGTCCGGTGAAGCTGTAAAGGCCAGCTGCGGCCAACAGCATTAGAGTAGTCCGAAAAAAAAGCCTAGTCTACACTTACGGGAGTTTTATTTTATAATAGTATTAAGAGTAAAATTTTTGCAATGAATGTCATATTTATTTATTTTTAATCAACATAAAAACTCGTTTCAAGCTTCTTTTCTTTTTCTTTTTAGTATTTTGTACCGTCCGAAAAGCTGTTCATGTTTATAAACGGTTACCACTTCCACTGGGTGCACTGCCAGTTGATTGCGAAAGACTGCTCGTGCATCCCCGTAACCCTAATAAAAGATGAAGAGAAGGAACTTCTTGGGGTTTTTAACCGGTAAGACTCGGGAATTACCTGTTGACCTCCCCCGGAACGGACGAGTCTCCACGAGGATTTACCCCAAAAAACGTGTACTGCCAGTTAGATTGACTTTTCAGTTATTTAAATTATTACCCGGGTCTTAACACGAATAATTTTATGGCAAATAAAGGTATTTACCTCTCTCGACGTTTCGACTAGGTTGCACTAGCCGTGGTCTCGAGCTGGTAATAGATAATAGAGATAGAGAGGTAAATACCTTTATTTGCCATAAAATTATTCGTATTTATTATTTATTATATTAAACACGAAAGTTTAAAATTGACTTTTCAGTTGCCAATTTAAAAAAAAAGGTTCTAAGTCTGGGGTCTATTGTTATCTTATCTGTGATTTTTTGTCAATTGAGTTTACGTGAACGAGTAACAAACATGTTTTGATTTTCTCTTTTCCTGTTGATTACAGACTATATTATTCAAATAAGTATCTCATAAATACTTATCTGCTTTCTTATCTTATTTGCTTATGTATTTTAATTATTATTTTGTTTAATCCGCCTAGGCACGGAAACATATTAAATAGTAAATCCAAAAGATATAATATAATTACGTTTGTTGCTGGCAGTTTGTCTACTGTTCTTTTAAGTTTATAAATTTCTATTCTAAAATGTCCTACATGAATAAATGATTTTTTTTGAATTTGAATTTGATTTTTTTGTTGTTAGTTTTATTCTTCGCTGTGAGAAAAAACACCTTTTGGGAAAAATACCCAATTTTTACTTTTTCATTAAAGTAGTAGTTGTATTCCCGCTCCAGTCACTTTTCTTTAATATATTTCGTCAGATTATACGGGAACAACTTGTCGAAGATAAGACTTTAACTGATTTCTCAATATTGTTGCGAGATTATAAGTCGATTTTAATGATACTTCTCTTAATTGATCTGATTTACTTACATCCTTTTTGGAACTTAACAAATTTAGTAATGATGTGTTTTTTGTAGAAAAACTTTAGTTTAATTGTTTATTACATCTATGATGCTGTTATATGTGCTGAAGATATAAATAAATCATTAATCTATCTATCTAGACTGAGATAATAATGACTACATCTATGCAAAGACCGTAACTGTGATATAGAAATTGATAGTACAGATACAGTACCTGGAGCGAGTATTTCCAGTAAATCCGTAATCTTCCTGCAAAGCTGCAGTTTGAGTAGGAGCCGATCATCGCTGACTTTGGCCAGGCCCTGCTCTTCCTCCTGTCCAATCATCTGCGCCAGCGCCAGGCCCACGTCGGTCATGTAGTAATGAGAAGAATGGAGATAACTGCCGCAGTGGTTGATAAACCTTCAACAACGATATGCAACATCTATTTTATACTATGTTTTCTAAACTTTAGATTTTGATGTTGAACACGCCATCATAGGAAGTAAAGTATCGTATAAAGCAGTGATTCCCAAAGTGGTCTATATCGACCTCCAGGGGTCTATGACAAACTGCAAGGGGTCTACGACGGCGGTCATCTTGTTGTTTTTACTTTATATTTTTAACACTAAACTTTACTGCAGTTAGAAATTTACAAAAAATCAATACCAGGTAAGAATGGCGGGTTTACCTAAAACCGAAAAATATGGCAAGGGGTCTACGACACAAAAAAGTTTGGGAACCTGTGGTATAAAGTAATATAGTATACTTTACTTCCAATGATGGCGGGTTCGATTCTCCGTACAGTACAAACATTTGTATTCATGAGTATGGTTGGTTTTATCGATTTGGGTGTTTTCTATGTATATTATGTGTGTTGCGGGTAAATGATACGATGTTGTTGGTCGAGATGATGTATATTACAGATGATAATAGACTGACAATATGTACATAGAAATAATGATCTTATATACTAAATAACAATAGGAAAATGTTAGGTGGGGTGACACAGTTTAGACACAGCAGTGCTTAGTAGACAATATTGAATTTGTCTTACTAGACATTATTAAATGCAATTATTATTTTGATGTATCTAGGTGACTGTGTCCCATAATGTGCATTTTAGTGAGAAAATGACATACGGCACGACTCCAAATGAGATAAAACCAAGGCAAAGATGATTATGTACGTAGTTCAAAATAAAATATCTATATTTATATCAGTCGTTAAGTTAGATAGATAGATAAAAATCTTTATTCGTATCCGGATAACACGAGTACAAACAAAATTAAATTAACAAGTATAAGAAAATAACATATAAGAATAATAATAATAAAAAAAAACACATAACACTTTAACTTACATATAAAACAAGAACATAAAATAAACATTAAAATACATATTAAGTGCCACAGGGATACGAAAGGGTTGTGGTCTACTCAGTGAACAATTTGCTCAACGAGTTAGTACTCATAACATAAACTCTGCTTAGCTTGAGACTAGAGGCGCTGTGTGAATTGTTCAGGGTTATCATCAGGTTCAATGGTAAATGAATTCCTGATTCCAATGTTCCTTAGATTATTTTAGATTTGAAATAGATTTGGATTTGATTTGATAAAAGATATAGAAATATTCCTGCTAGCGACATTAGGAATTGGTACAATTTCAGCAATACAATTTTATCTTGACATCTTTACCTTTCACAGCAGTCAGGATCTCCCTTCGGCATCGCACTAAGCTCTCTACCAATATCCTGCAGCAGTTGCTGTATGATTGCATCAGATACCGCATCTTTACAGCAGTTACAGATCCAAAACTTATTGTCGAGATTCCGTGTCTTTGGATCTGGGTTTTTCGTCTTGTGCAGAATGGGAAGAATGAAGGTCTCCGGCAAGAGAAAACCTTTACAATTCCTGGAATATAATTATGAGAAAAGTTTAATGTTTTATTTTACAAGGATAGACTAGCTGTACCCGCGACTTCGTCCGCGTGGAATTTGTCTGTATTTTTCTAAAATAAAAGTCAAAATCGGTCCAGCCATACCAGAGATTAGCCGTAACAAACAGACAGACAGACAAAAACTGTAAAAAATGTTATTTTGGTGTATATACCGTATTTATATTCATATGAAAAAAACGGTTCGTCAAAAAACGTTACTTCTAAAAGAGTAATTAATAGTAATTATAGAAAAGAGAGTAAGATTAGTTATGATGGCCGATAGAGATCAGTGGATGAAGATGACATAATGCGCTCAAATAATGGAATAAAAGCAAGGCAATGGTAAAGAAAATTATTATAAATTACACCGAAATAAATAAATCGAAGTTATGCACGAAGTACACAATTTTGAAACCGTCAGGTAGAAGTTAGCCTTCAGCCACTCCATATGTCCTTTCGCAGGTTTGGAGTGCCGTCTGCACTCGCCCTCTATTGTTTGGCGAAGCTAGCAGCGCCCAAAATTAGAATAGTTGGAAAAAAAACTAGTACAGAAGAAAATTGGTAACAAGAGGAGCATAAAGTATACAGTTATAATATTAGATTTACTTCTTTTTACACTTGATACTGCTGTACATGGTGTCCAGTTCGGTGACGTCAGAGCATCTCTCACACGTGCACTCGAAATGTTTGGTATCAGCGAGGTGGTGGCGGCGCCCTTCAGTTCCCCACAGTGGATCCGTGTAGCAGACCGTAATATGGGTGCCAATTGGGATGTTGGAGCCCGCACATAGAATCTATACACAACTTTACATTGAAATTTGAACAAAATGAAAATTTGAGACGACGCAGTCGACACTAAGATTTGCTTTGTAAGAAAGTTTATTATGAACTTAAAGAATTAATAAATGATGATCACGTTTTTGTTAAACTTAAAATTCGTAGAGCTCACGATATTCTAATTGCACAAAGAATGAGTGCGTAGCAGTTTCCATGTTGATTGTCGCCTGCCTCCTGCTTGTGTGTACTTATTTAACAGAGCAATACGCAAAATATTACTCATTTTTCTTGTGATGAGTCTGCGTTTAAAATGAGTGGAAGAGAAAAAACATATGTCTATTACAAAGTGTTTTATATTAAGTTTATTTGAATAAAGTACGTTTCTATTCTGCAAACAAATGATTTGACTTGAATAACTTTTATGACATGTAACCTACCATATCTCCATGGGATGTGAAGCTCTTGTTGCAATTAGCTCGACAATTGTGCTCCACCATTGATATCCGATCAAATATCGCCACGTACTCAGGCTCCAGTAGAGGAACCTCGTGTCCGTTGATCTGTACGAATGTAATGTGAGTATTTTACATCAACTTATTGACTGAACTACTGGTCGGCCAGTAGTCTTCGTTCATAATTAATTTGAATTATTAGGTTGAACAATACTAAAGTTCTATTCTCAAAGACTATGCGTGTTTGTGCGTCAAATACACAATAGTGTGTGTGATGTTTTTTGTTTTAATGTATTTTTTATGCATAATTAAAAAGATTAGCATTCTCCACACCTTCTCTATATAAGGTATAAGTGTGCGAAATTTCATACTCCTCCGCGCAATTTTCGTAAAATGGTGTTCAAAGTTTCTGCGTCACGTATTCATATAATAAAACCCTGGACAATTCACACAGCGCAGTGTCATGTAGTCCTAAGCTAAATTATGTAGTACCCATAATATATATTTATATATTATGAATACAAGATAATTGGTAATACTTAGACTTTATTCTAAATACATACATAGACAACACCCAGATCTATATAGACTATCATACTCATATTATGTAAACTCGTGGTCTTTTGGTACCTGGTCCATCTTTTTACTCTGTGACGAATCTACTGTTAAGAATTTGTGTAGCTAAAATAGTAGTTATATAACCTGTAATATTCCACAGCATTTCATAATTTCATCCTCGTTAAAAGTTCCGTCCAGTTTCAGAAACTTCCAAATGAACTCCACTATCATCTTCTTATCATTCTCCCACTTCTCCGTTCCCCTTCTGCTTTCGCAGTGAGATTCTAATTCTTGCAGTCTGTTCCACAGCTTTTGATTGTGGTCCCGTTGGTACAGACATCGGAGTACTGTGATACATTCGTAATTTGGATGAGGTGTTCCAAATGTTGATATGGAGACCTGAAACAAAATGTAAAAAAAGTTAGTTAATATTATAAGTGCGGAACTTTGTGAGTATGGATGGATGTTTGTTACTCTTTCACGCAGAAACTACTGAATGGATATTGTTGATATCAGAATAACACATAGGCTATATTCACGCTGGTGAAACCGAGGGTATACCTAGTATGAAATAAATTTAGAAGTATACCTTTTCTCCTTTCTGCTGTGTGTAGTAGCATTCCGGCTTGTGTTCCTCTTTAAGAGTGCAGGCTTTAGAGCAGAACGGCCAGCCACATTTATCACAATTTACTGTTTTACCTTCCTCCAATAGAATATAGCAACCAAGACATACAGGAGGTGTCACCTGAAATAAATATACAGACTACTTTATATACATGTACGTAAAATTAACATATTTTGATTGTCGCCTTATTTGCGACATTTAAATGCAACATTAAATCCACTGTCCGGGCTAAAATTTATGTTTTTTTATATATTGATTAGAATATATTTATTTATAAAATAACTAAGAAATAAATGTTTTGTTATATTGCAAAGAGTAAATTTTTCTTTTACATCACAGGTATGTACTTTTAACTGATATAATGCTATATTATATATAAGTTATTGATATTCTCTATGAATGATTTGATTTGATATGGGCATACTATGTTGAAGAACGAGGGTTATATTTTAAAGAAATATTTAGAATGTGGATGGATGGAAAGGGAGGAGACGACTCAAAAAAAGATGGATGGGTTGTGTGAAAGATGAACGGTTTACGCTGGCGGGGCATAAGATGATAAGATGAGAATGAGGTAAGTCGTGATAATTTCAGAAATTTATCACGATGGTTTCCAGGGGGAACCGTGTGGAGGTCAACCTGACTCAGTACATTGCTAGCAATGGGGTCGAGAGTCCACATTACTAATAATCCATTTCCCCCAATGGATGGGTTGTGTGAAAGATGATTTGTATAAAAGGACAGTAAGTAAGAAGAAGATGACATACTGCGCCGACCCCAAATAATGAGATAAAGGCAAGACATCGATGATGTAAGAATAATAATTCATGTCAGACAAGAACCTAAGGTACAATATAGGACCATACATTAGGTGGAAGTAAAGGCAATAAAATTAGTACGCCGGGTAAAAGTAAACAAAGTCAATTTATATTATAGAGCTACTATTAATAAAGAGGAGAAATTTTAATTTTGTATATTTATTTGTTTGTAACGGTTAATAATAATTATAACAACCTTGGACAATTCTCACCGAGCCACCTAGCTAAGCAGAATTTGTATTATGGGTCATATAAGTACTAAGAAATCAGTATAAGTACTAAGAAAATCAGTATTACTAATTTGTGGTAATACAAGTAAATAATAGTAAACATCCAGATCGATACAAACAATCATACTCATGAAGGCCTGAATCGAGCGATCATCGGAAGTAAAATATATAGTATCACTTTCCATCCAGTATCCATAACATAGGAACATGAACATGGACGTCTCCCGGGCTGAGATGATGATCCATAAGCTCTGATTATTTTGGAACTATATGACGTTTTCATAATTATCCAGGGATATTTATTTATTTATTTATTTTATATAACTTCAATGCACTGAATACAAAATATGAGTACAGTACATTTGGCGGACTTAAACCATGCGGCATTTTCTACCAGGCAACCATAGTTGGTGCAGAGAATAAATGTTGGCTGTGCAAATATAATAAATAATAAATAAAATGCAACGAAATATAAACAGAACGATAAATACAATATATAACTAAGAAATACAATAATATATTACATAAATATAAACAAATGTTATATTATACATATAAATAAATATATACATAAAAAAAAGTTAGTCTGACAGTCGCAGAACTAAAGACAGTAGAATAGAAAAAATAATGGAAGAAAGAAATCTGGACGAGAGCAGAAAAAGTTACAAATTGAGATAATATTCCCGCAGTTTCGATATTATCGTATTTATTTATTTTATATTTATATTACCTGAGCAGGTCCAGTTATAAGTGGCTTTTCCTTTAAAATTATATCTCCAGCTTTAATTTCTCGTACAGATTCCAAGTACCTTCCCAACTTGGTGTCTTCTTTAACTTTAAATGGCACACATAAATGCTTGTGCTCCTTCCAGTGGTGCTTCTGATGCTCCTTACTGCAGTAGTGGACTGTCTGACAGCCTGAGCACTTGTGCTCGGCCGGCGAGAGGCACACCATGCAAGCACCTTTTTCATCCATGACCTGGCAAATTATATCATCCATATAATGCTTATCGCCGTTGAAATCACCGTGGCTCTACATTATTTAAATTATTAACTTTAACACGAATAATTTTATGGCAAATAAAGGTATTTACCTCTCTCGACGTTTCGACTAGGTTGCACTAGCCGTGGTCACGAGCTGACTCGAGTCAAGACCCGTGTTAAGACCCGGTTAATAATTTAAATAATGTATATTAAACACCGTGGTTCTATCCTTACTAATAAACCGCAAAAGGTCGTGACTTCGAATCTGGTGAAAACTAGAATTTATGTGTGTGTCAATTTATAGACACTCTTCTAAATACAGATATCAGAATAAGATTGTTAGTAATGTGGATTAATTACCTCGTCGCTAGCAATATACCATGTCAGGGTCATGTTCACCTGCACCCGCCTGCGCTAATGGTTTACGCTAGTGGGGCACCAGTGGAGGATGATCAGATAAGCATGAGGTCAAGTCAGTTAGCCCATCGTGAGAATTTCACCAGATATTTATTAGGTTTCCAGGGGAAACCGCGTGGGGTTAACGGTCCACATTACTAAACAATCCTTTTCCCCGTAGGTGTAATATTAATATTAGAAAATACTTCTTAAACAAATGTAACAAATTTACTAGCACATTATTTGACCCACGTGCATTCAATAATATCTGTTGACGTTGTTGCCACTATAACAGTAACTAGTAAATACCTACCATCTTCTGTTTCACCAAAGTGTGCTTTATTATGTATATTAATTATAATATCACTATAATTATCACAACAAGAATGGAATTTAAAAATTAGTATTTATGTATACCTACAACACTATGCAAAGCAAATGCTGTAAATCCTATAATTGATTATTTAGATTATATCACATACCTTATTTAATATTCTGTATGTGTATTACAACAGATTGACTTTATATTTTACATGGATAAAACGATACACAATTAGAATGAAATGTTAGTCGTAAGAAAATCCGGGTCGCACTACCGAATGCGCTCGCGCAGACTCGACGTGTTAAAAATAAACGCCGGCTCTGGGCGTCACCCGATGCCGGAGCTTTTCTACTCTACAATTATGTCAAAGGAACACAACAAAAGGTATACTGTCTAAACTTTCACTTTCGACCGCAAATTAGCCGTAATTTGAACCAACTAAACTACGGAAGAAATCAGTAATTATTTTTAATTAAATAAGTTTTTTCTGGACTATTCTTACGGCGTCATCTAGTCCTAAGTTCAGAGGAGCCAGTGTTTATTTTCATTTATAACACTTTATTGCACCAACATAGAATGGACGTTAACAAAATTGAGTCATAAAAAAAATAAAACTAAGTACAAAAGTCGGTCTTATCGCTAATCTCTATCAGACTTTTGGAAAGAGAATATTTTATTATTGGTCATATTATTATTGATTATTGGTCATATATTTATGTGTATGGTATACGAGGTTTTCTCGCGAGATTACAACATGCTATTTTTCAAGAAGGATATCGTAATGTTTCTTAAGAGTCGGCAACGCGCACGTGACGCCCCTGGCGTCTTAGGCGTCCATAGTCTACGGTTACCGTTTGCCATGTTTCAGATGGGACGTATGCCTGTTTGCGACCATCGTAGTAAAAAGAAATAGAGCTACTTAAATACATTTTGTAAATAAATACATAGAAAACGTAACAGAAGAACAACCAATGATACTCATGTTTGCATTGTACGAAAAATCGAACCTGAGGCCAACGGCCAACTTCCGAAGCTGTATCTCGCGTTAAGCTAAGTATAAACAAAGGCACATCACCTTTCTCGCAAACTAAACATAGAAAAACGAGTATCTTGCCTCTTATACACATACATCATACACATAACTCTTGCTTCATTAGTTGACGGCCTCGGTGGTCTAGCGGTTTATCACACCGCCTTAATTCTGATGGTTGCGGGTTCAATTCCTCGCACGGCACAAATATTTGTATTCATGAGTATGACTTTTGTATCGGTCTATGTGTTTTCTATGTATAATATGTATGCATAAACGAAAAGAAAATTATCTATGTATTTATATCAGTTATACCCATAAACACAAGCTTTAGCTAGTTTAAGTTGGGTCTGGAAGCATTGTGTGAATTGTCCTAAGATTATTATTATTAGTAATTTTTATGATTCGCTTCATACATCAACTTGGTTTTGGAGATGTTAGACTCAGGGCTCGCATTTTACTGCATTTAGTCTATTTATATTGTCTTTCTTATATAATCCACTCTCGCTAGCATAAGGTCGTGTGAGGATAATTATGGATTTGTATGTATGCTGACAGATATGCTATGTTCTGGCTACTACTTTTCCATAATCCACATCTTATCTATTCGTACATTTTCTAAACAACGCGATGGTGTAGTTCAGGAAAGACTGATAAGGGTAGAAAAATATACAAAGTTATTCAAAATCCAAATTTATTACAAATGTTAAATTAGTTTTTATAAGTTAAAATATAAACAATAACAAAACTGTAAACGATTAATGTCTTTTTAGTAAAAGGAATGGGATTTAATTTAAAGACAATGTAAGTAAAAACAAATATTCCAATAATGACCAATAAAAAATATTTACACCTTGCGTACGTTATTTTTACAATGTACACCCGTCTATTAGTTATACTGTTATTGTACAAGTTAAGTGTCTAAAACTAGTTAGATATATAGTAGATACCGAATTGAGTTATAATAAAGAGAAAGTCATAACACTATCGGCGGGATTGAAGTTTAATGTTAAATTTATACAAAAGAAAGGCTTAAAATTAATATTAATAGATCAATCACATATATATAGATAATTGTATTTATAATTACTTTTAACAGAATTATTTAAAGCATGTAGGTACTACGCGATTTGGCATTTGGTCGACCACGTCGAGATTGTGTCTCTTAAATGTTGACCTGGCTAAGAAATAAGGCTCTTTACATACAAATCGTAATCCGACAAATCGGACCAACAAATTGGTTTGCAAATCATACCATGAATGCAGTTTATTAGTAGTAAATGAACTGCCTTTTTTCAAATTACCATAAATTTTAGACTATCCTTAGCAATTTCAGATCTTAGTGTTCGGTTTTAAAAGATGTCTTTTTACAAATCATAGAAGCTGACTCTCATGATATTTTGCCGATGATCTGCTCCCAAGTTCTTATTTTCTTCAGAGCATCCCGAGCAGCTGAAGCCATGAGGCCTTCGGACGACTGTGCTGGTTCGAAACCGAGGATCAACGCAGCCTCTGTTAAATACCCCACGATCTGAAATCAATATTGTAGGTTTTATTGTACTCAGAGTATTAAAATGGGAATGAAATCTACCGATTTCGTTTATTCTAAAGCTATATATACCTATGTATATATAAATCAAATTTTGTTTAATCTATTTAGCCCCTATTGTCACCCACCCATATTTCAATAGATCAATCTATTGAAAAGCAGAGCTCTAATAGAACATTAGTCCATAATTATTTATTTCCAAATTGAGTATTTCATAAGAAAAATATAGGAAACAAAATGTTACCTCTTTGAGACGAGTCCGAAGATTGTCTTTTGATATAACTTTCCTTTCAAAATCCCTTGTAGTCAGAATCATTAACGGGGCATGTAACTCGTACAGTGTTACTCCTGAAAGCAAATAGAATACATAAAACTAATGCTGAATACTAAAGGCTCGATGGACCATTTTTTTCATCAGGGTCTAATCCAGCGGGTGAGTTCAAGATCAAGAGTGTAGGAAATAGGGACATGCATGAGATGAGGGTTGGACAAAAATAACCTTCGATCTTTTAATCTTTCCAGTAAGATAGCCTTCTTAATTACCGTATCCGGTAATTTCATTGAAGTAGAATATATCCCAGAATCAGACCACAATATGGAAGCTAGTTTCTGCTAGAATGGGAATATGGAACAGAAGAAGCCTTTGCAGAAAGACTTGGTGATAGGTTATATAGCTCTATGTTAACTTACCTCTCAATCTTGAATACCCCGGTTCAATGATATCAAAAACCTTCATCAGGTCTCGACATATATCAATTTTCCTCTTCAGCTCCATCTCTGGCATCTCGTGAATCATGTAATTTGTCACTTTCCCATACAGTTGACTGAGTGAGTGTTTAGCGGATAAGCAGAGGTAGTGCGTGTTGTGGAGTACATTCCTATACTTATGGAGGAAGTTCTCATATCCGGGAACGTCATTGACGTCTATTTGCTCAAATTCGTCTGTTAGCCTAGAAGTTAAACAGAATTTTAACTAAATTTATTTCAGGCTATCAATGCCCCATATTTTATAGACTAAAACATGCTTATGAAATGATATAATTTATGGTGTCGAAGGTTTTGTTTTTCGGACGACTCTAATGCTGTTGGCTGGAGCTAGCCTTTACAGTTTCGCCGGACGACAAAATAACGGCGTCGGAGTAAAAATACAATGTGTTACCACTCTTTTTATCTTTAGAATGTCGCTTACGATACTTCTTTAGGTTTTACAATTAGTTGACACACATGGGCTCTGTGCGATTTGTAGATGGCTCATTACTCTAAAAGCTAAAAGCTCATTACTCTAAAGGCTAAAAGCATCTAGACCCAAGGCGAACCAATGGCACGCGAGCCATTGACGGCATGCGACACAATATTTTGGGCACGTCGGCGATCATAAAACTGTTTGAAGAAGTTGGCTCATGCTATTTTAACAATATTTTTACCTACCTATGCCTGCGAGTCAGAGATGAATAACATTAAAAACTCGGTTAGAAACCGTTTGACAGATGAATCCACTTCAGCATGCATTTTGCTAAAAGTAATACCGTACAAGCCTGACATAAATTATTTGTCACCTAACCTGCAGCAATAGAAGTCACACTAATTTTACAGTAATTTAATTTATGCGTGTAATGGAAACAATCCAAAATGTACCTCTTTTGTTTACTTTATTTCATAGATAGTTTTGATAGTATTTATTATTATTATTTTCGAAATAATCAGAAAGTCAAAATTATTTGATGGCACGTCAATGAACCCATTAAACATTTTTTTAGAAAAAATGGCACGTTGATGCATAAATGTTCGCCTACCCTAGTCTAGACTATGGCATCTCGTTTCAAGAGACGAGAATATATTCTGATTAAGGTTTAAGATTATTCTCACCTCTTCACCAGTAATTGTACGGCTGATGCTGACATGTTGTATGTGCATCCATTGTCGATACAACTCCACTGCGCAGCAGGATCAAGTGGTGCAGTCGACAGTACTCTGCCAGTGCACTTGGGACATCTGAACGCACTAGCATATGTTCCCAGCTCAGTGGGATCCGAACAACGTTTGCACGAGCAGTCGAAGAACTTGGTTTGTTTTATGTGCTCACGTCGCTTCAGTGTACCCTGAAATCAGAACCATTCCTTATTTTTATGACCTGGGATTTAGAGAGGAACAAGGAGATGTGCCGTTCTAAAAATGTACTCAATTGATTCAGTGGTGGTGTTCTTCTGCTGACTCAATTAATTATTTCAGAACGATTTTTAACGTAACATCTTTATTGATTTGAGAGTTCTTTACTCAAATTTCCTTCTATCAAAGAAGGAGGAAAAAAATCTTTTGCAATTAAGCAAGAATTTAATTCGCTACAGTGATAGTAACTCGTTTAATGAAAAGAAATCCAATCCCAAAGCTTTGTATCTCGGGGCCCACTCTTGTCTCTTAGAGCGATTTGTATAAAATCTATTTGAGTGTTCAATGAAAGTTGGCTGCTTCATGTTCCTAATGAATAGGGTCTTCAGCAATAACAAAATCTATTCATGACGTGCGTGATGCATGCTATGGAAGAGTTGCCATTTTTTTACGTGTAGTTAAAATCTTCAACAAGACCAATAATCCGCTGGATTTGTGTAGGATTTTTCCCGCCAAAAATCACACGGTGTACCTCGAGTTGCCGTGGTCCGAAGTCAGGTTCGCAGGATTCCACCATGACTGGGGGAGTTACCTGCAGGGTGAGCGGTCGGCCAGCAGCGCGCTCTGCGTCCGTGTGCGTGGTGCTGGGCGTGCTATGAGAGAGAGAGAGAGAGAGTTACCTGCAGGGTATACGCGTAGCACAGAGAGATGAGGTCACCAGCGCGGTGTGACACGGAGGCGCGTACGGCGAGCGGCCTGCCGACGGCACGCTCAGCATCCGTGTGCGTAGTGCTGGGCGTGCACTCGTGAGCCAACAAGTGCGCGTCGCTGTAGAGCGCGCGTGCAGTCGCACCGCTGCCGCCCACCTCGAACGCGTTCACCTGCCGGCAACAAATGTATCCTTTACATATCAGACCAGAGGAGTAAACCTCCATCAACCCATGGTTAATACGATTTACGGTAATTACACTGGCCGAATCTGCGGAAAATGCTGAAATGAACTTTTTGTCTCTCTATGCATATCCCCCTTTCCTCCCAGCTTCCTCACAGCGGATGAAACATTATATACTGAGTAATAAGATTTATAATTTTTATCATGAATTGCTATCAATGCACCCTGTAAGATCGATCTCCGGGTGAATTAGCCACGATAAGTTAACTGCACAGGACGACAATAGTATGAGAATGTATGCTTATCCTATCCTCTTCCACTGGTGCCCCGCAAATGTATACGAGACGGGCCGTATGCTTGATTTCCATAGTAGTATAAAAAAAACGTTAAATTTATGATAAATTTAAAAATGTATATAAATTAAAAATTAAAATTTTAATTTTATATATATAAATACAAATATACAATATTATATAATATTATCTTATCCATGCCCCAGACATTTGTAAATAGTGTCAAGTGACAAGTGTCTATTTGTAATTTCAAATTAACAGCTATTCATTAAATCCCTATGAAAATATATACTTACATCAAAAAATTATATTGAATATTGTTGTCTCTCTGTCTTGCTTATCTCTGAAACGGCTGGACCAATTTTGACGGGACTTTTACTCGCAAATAGCTACGAAGTAACTAGATTACTTTTATTTCAGAAATTTTATTTGTATTAATTCCACGCGGACGAAGTAGCGGAAACAGCTAGTACATAATATGTTTCAAACTAAACAAATGCCCCTGTGGCATCGCGCCAATAGTAACTCTGTTGCTTTGCTGATTTGCTATGGTGTTTTTCTAATGAGATTTAATGTGCCGTATCTAGCAGCTATTATTTATGCTAAAGATCGTTCGTTATCATCTTTATGCGTTTTAATTTTGAGATTTGTTTATTTTAATTCTCAAGTAGGTGTATCCCAAAGTATGAGTCTTATACTCATTGGTGTTACATGTTACTAGTGAACTATTTCTTTCAATTCAAATTCAAATATCATTTATTCATTAGGACATTTTAGCCGCTTAGGATCGTCAAATTTTTTATATTACATCGTTCCCCTACCGTCCAGTTCTGTATATAGATCCAATTGAGAAGAACTGGCAAGAAATTCAATTGATTTACTTTTTTTTTTTAAAAATAAATTTATTTTCAAAATATATTTACATAGGTGTATAACAGTAATTGAAAATCTCGTGCATGAACAACTATTGCCATGCACGATCGTTATTGAAATAATTGTTTTGTGAGTTTTGTGGCTTTGCTCAGTAAATATGATTTTGAATTTATTTAAGGGTAATTCCAATATATCCTTTGGTATCTTATTGTAAATTTTTATACCTATTCCCATAAAAGATCTATTGATTTTTTCTAAACGATACTTGGGGACAGCAAGTTTGTCTTTAAATCTAGTATTTATATTATGATAAATATGATAAAAGTAAGAATTAGGAACGAAGGTAAGGAGAAGCGTAAGTTATTAAGGATATTATCATGACAGGATATGCATATTATGCCGAAGACAGATTGGGAGTAATTAAACAGAAAATAAATGTTATCTTATATACATCAACACGATCTTACATTGTAAAAATGCATAGACTCCTTTCTGGACATTATTCAGCGGTAAGGTTTGGACACTTAATGAAAAAAGCAATACACAAAATTGTGAAGTATGTGGTTATTATAATAATATAAGAGTCTTTAAAAGACCTACATGATACCTATTTAAATATATTATATATTTTTTTAATTTTGATGGAGAGTGTCAGGAATAACGTCAGATCATAGAATAAATATACTGGATGTCGGTGCCATACAAACTGTTTTAGCCGATCCTTCAGATAGTGCGGCTAAGGCAATTTGTTCACTGGTAAGATAATGGAGTTATTAGTTTTAGGGCACAATGAGACTGGCCTGTACTTTTAAATTGTACAAAGTCCCTAAATTAAAAGAAATAATAAAAAGAAACCTAAATCACTAAATTTTATAAGTATTCAAGTTTATTTAGAAGCTCCTCGACCTCGACCACCGAGCACCGACCACCGAGAACCAAAATAGCTTACAAAGCAAGCTGCTTGGCGGCTGATATGCTCATCATCTTTATCAGGGACGATTTTTGAAGGTATCTCCAAAAGACCGATCCCCTGAAGATAAAATACCGTTTTCAGTTTGTATACTATAAACTGCAGTTTTTAAATTGCAGTTACTTACCTCTAGTATGCCACAGATATTGTGTATTTCTTCCTCTTCGAATTTCAGGCCCCATTTCTTCATTCTTCTCACGATATTCCTGTCGTTCATAGGGAAGATGTCGCCTCTGGCACGCCTCAGCTCGTTGTGGGCTTCCATGGCACATATGGCAGACCATTTGTCAGGATCAGCCTCTTTTAGAAGTAGACATCTGGAATATTAGACGTGTTTATTAGTTACATGTGTGATTTTATACCTGGTATTAATATTATCTTTGAAATTCAAATTCAAAATATCTTTATTCATGTAGATCTATTACAGACTCTTATTATATGTCAAATCTACCGTCAATTCGGAATAATTTCGAGATGAGAAGAACTGATAAGAAACTCAGCTCGTATTGTTATTAAATAAATGTTGTACATGTTTACAATTATACAGATTCATTTAAGTTCAAATTTGGGGGAATAGAGTGACCACCAGCATATGCTATTGCAAAAGCAAAAAGTCTAATCAGTGTTCGTAACAAGAACAGACCAGTGCCCACAAACAGCGCCCGTTCACGAGTATGACGAATAATAAAAATATGACTGACCGCTGTCCGTACGCTGACTGACTGATTCACTGATTTCAGCAAAGTAATAGAACGGATTAGGATTTTTGTATGTGCGTTTGTGCACGCTAATCTCAGAAATGGCTTAACATGATTTGGGTGCAGTTTTCACAACTTACGTAAGTAAGCTTCCTGTAAAATTCTGTGCTTGTTTTGTACCAAACGAGTTTCTAACAAAAAGTAATAACTATTATTATTCTGAATACCATGTATAGATACAAGGTCGATTTTCAGGAACCTTTTTTTTTCCATTTCTATTATTTCCACAGGCTTCGTTGAAAAACTTAATATCTTTCCATATTTACAAAAGACGCATCAAAACGTAACTGTTTAATGACACTTTAATCAAATCAACCAATCTATTTACATACCTCAACGGCATTAACGCCTGATACGAATCCTTCAGGTCCATGAGATCACAGTAATCTGGTGGGACGGCCTTCAAAGTGTCGCACTCGTACTTGGAGTGCCCGGTGTACTGACCCTGGCCGGGACACGAGCTGCTGCACATGGGCCATTTGCAACCACGACATCTGCAAATAAATAATATAACTCTAGAAATATAAACATAAATAGAGATAGATAAAAATAGAAATAATGTTTATTCAAATAAACTTAATTTTTGAATAGATATATTTTTTTATTTTTCTGCTCATTCGGAGTACTGCCTCATCACGAGAAGAACGAGTAAGAAACATGCGTGTTGCTCTCTTAAATAAATGTTGTTTTAAATAAATGCACATTAACAAGGAGGAGGCATGCGACAGTCAACAGAAAAGAAACGCACTCATTCTTTGTGCAATTAGATAATAGTCAGGTGTATGAATTTTAGGTTTTTTCTACAAAAACATTACCATATACAAACTCTTCGATTTTGTAATAATCTTTTACACAAAAAAGTATTTATACGACATTTGAATATTAAAAGTTTATTAAAAAATAAATAATACTTATTATTCCGACCCGGCTTCGCACGGGTGTACATGTATTATATATACTTATACCTAAAACTTCCTCTCACTCTATCCATTGCTAAAAACTGCATTAAAATCCGTTGCGTAGTTTAAAAGACCCAAGCGAAAAGCGGAAGCGACTTCTTCTTATACATTTACTAGCTACTCGACCCGGCTTCGCCCGAGTGTACATGTATTATATATATAAACCTTCCTCTAGAATCACTCTATCTATTATAAAAAAAACCGCTTCAAAATCCGTTGTGTCGTTTTAAAGATTTAAGCATACATAGGGACGGACAGACAGCGACAACGACTTTCTTTTATACTATGTAAGATTCCGTTATTTCGTTGGATTTATTTACTTTAATATGTCCCTTAAAACCCGTGCTTTAGGAATAATGAACAATATGAGTAATTTTAATCGAAGTCGTTTCCGCTGAAGCGCCTTCCTTTTCAAGATTTGTATCTGAACTTGTCGATTTATCAGATACTTACTTATAGACGCTGGTTTCGTCCAGCTCCCTGTAACATCCGAGGCATATGAGCGCACAGCCGGTGCACGGGCCCACCGCCAGCGCTGGAGACTCGATGATCATTTCACCAGCTCTGATGTCACGGGTAGCTACCAGGTACCTGAAATTTAGTGTTATATACGTTATTTATCTTCCTACTAGGTTTGTTTGGGTATTTTAGCCACCAAGCTGGTTAAATAAAATAGGTATTATTCCAATAATTTATACATATAAACAAAATTGGAGTGTCTGTTTGTAATATTGAAATAACCGTTTTATACTGCATGCATATGAATATAAATACGATACATACACCGAAATAACATTTGTTACATTTTTTGACTGCCTGTCTGTTTGTTTGTTCCGGCTAATCTCTGAAATGGCTGGACCGATTTTGACGATACTTTTTTGGCATGTAACTGATGTAATAAGGAGTAATTTAGGACACTTTTATTTTATAAAGATAGAGTTAAATTCAACGCGGACGAAGTCGCGGGAATAGCTAGTTATACAAAAATGTAATTTTTGCACAGCCATGGTAATTTAGTAGTTTAGCAGACTTTCTTATTTTCCTATGATCGTGGGTGCGATTTTTGCATAATACAAATATTTGCATACATAAGTATCTATATAATAATAGTAATAACTCTGAACAATACACATAGTGATCGAATCATAAAAAATATATATTAATATAGAATTGACATTATTACAAAATAGAATGAAAGTGAAATAACAAACAAGAATCTGATGGTAAACGATTACTATATATTTTAAACGCAAATTTAGAATATAAAACGTTTCTTCGTTATTTATGAATACATACATAATATATATAGTTAACACCCAGAATGATAAAAACAATCGTATTCAATTGCTATTCAAGAGAATACATCAAGTTTTGCAACGTTTATAGTATCTGTCAATTTACACAAATAAATAACATTAAAACATTTTTATTTATGAATACATACATAATATATATAATTAGACTAATGTAAAAACAATTATCTTGCTAAAAGAGATACATCAAGTTTTGCACACGTTTATAGTATCTGTCAAATTTACACAAATAATAATTTAATAAAATTGTCATAAATAATTAAAACTTTTATAATTATGATGATATAGAACTAATAGTTAACAATATGGACTTATCTCTAAAAGAAAGATCAGAACAGAATGGAAATCAATACAGCGTGGCATATGTCGGAAGACAAGTTGTACCGTATATCGATAATAATATTAACCAAATAAAAATATTAATAAATAAAGGCTTTTCATTTTTAATTAAAACTAAACATAAAAATATAATGTCCAAAATACAGATACTATTATAAAGATACAAATATTAAAATATTATTATAATTTGCAGTGTTTATGAAGTAATGGATAATCATACTTCAAAAATGCTTCAGTAGTGTTGATAATGAAGTAAGGATATCATTAAACTAGCTGAAAAACTGGATTTCGATTGTAAAAAATATATTTGGCATGTTCTAAAGCGAAATATGATGTAGATGTACATTTTTATAGAGACATTCTCATGCATTACTCTGATTCACTTTCGCGGTTGATTCACGTTCTATTTTCTGGTAGTTTGTTTTTTGCTTTTTATTATTATGTTGAAATATTGAGAATTATTTATCTATACATATAAATAAAATTGGAGTGTCTGTTTGTAATATTGAAATAACCGCTTTTTACTACATGCATATGAATATAAATACGGGACATAAACCAAAATATTTTTTTTACAATTTTTGTCTGTTTGTCTGTCTGTTTGTTCCGGCTAATCTCTGAAATCGCTGGACCGATTTTGACGGTACTTTTTTTGGCAGGTAGCTCATGTAATAAGGAGTAACTTAGCCTACTTTTATTTTAGAAAATAAAGTTAAATTCCACGCGGACGAAGTCGCGGGAACAGCTAGTATACACTAATATTATAAAAAAGTAAAGTTTGTGAGTTTGGATGTTCACTTTAAACTCCAGGACTACTGATTCGACTTTGAAATTTCAAGTAGTGTTGGATAGTCCTTTTATCGAAATGGCTATAGATTGTATAACATCACGCTATGACCAATAGGAACGGAGCTGAATTGAAAAATCTTGACGGGACAAAACTGACGCCGTTGAAGTTGGCGGGTCAACTAGTAAAATATAAATATAATATAAAATATTTTTACTAACTACCCGCCTTGGCTTCGCATGGATGTACAACTATTATACATATAAACCTTCCTCTTGAATCACTCTATCTATTGCTGAAAATTGCATTAAAATCCGTTGTGTAGTTTACAAGATATAAGCGAGTTGATAGCGGAAGCGACTTCATTGTATACCATGAAAAGATTCCGGCAGGCAATTCGACTTTATGTTATACTATGTTAAAGTAAATTATACCTAAAGTACGATTTTTTTTTTGGTTCTGTTTTTCTCTTTTTAGGGAAAGGCAAAAGGACTCAGCCCATACAGCCATTGTCTTCAGTAATATTTTCATTAATTCCAGTCAGTAAAATGACAAGTGCAACTGTCACTGATACAAAAAAGGGTGACCCGCTACAATAGTGATGTTCGGCGATCAATAGACTTAGACATTTAGTCATACTTTATTTTATTAGGTATGGAAGACTTTTTTTTTAATTTTAAATATTTAACACATACCGTATTAAACAATACGATTTTAGAAATATGGACCTTACCAGCATAATAAAATTTCTCACTACAACATTATTACAAAAGCTGGGAAAAAATTTAAAAAGAGATTCAGAGGAATTAATACTAGAATTTTTATTTATATAAAGGCAAATTGATATTGAATAAAAAAAATGTAATCACGACTAACTTTTAATTGTAAAAACTCGATTCTACCACATCACTATTTATGTGGGGATAAAAACCTGCAACACTGGAAATGTCATTTTACTGACTGGAATTAATAATCGTACTTTATTTATAAAATAAGATACTGTCATACCTGCCCATTATGTCTGAATGCTTTATTTCATAACAGCGATTCTTCTCCGCCGCTGGCGGTTGACTTTCTTCATTATCGAGAACTTCAGGACTTCCATCCCTGTCGATGACATTCTCTTTATTCTTCCCATCTCTCGCTCTCTTCTTTTGCTTTAAACAAGAGATTACTAATTAACACAACACACTTTTTAATTAGTGGTACCACAAAAAACACATAATGAGGCGTTTTAAATTTATTCTATATACATATTTTAGCTAAAGCTTTGACACTTTTTGTATAGAGATGCCACTGGTTTAAAATAAATATTTTAAAAGTATTAACAATAATTATTTTAATATTCTATTACACTTTTTCTATGGCCACTACTATAAAATGAATTTCATAATAACGTTATCACTGAGCGGTTACATTAGAGCTTACACAGAATAATCGGCGGAACATGAGACAGTGAGACGTTTGAGACAACGGGAGACGGTCGTCAGACAGTTTTTTTCCTGATAATAAAGACACGTCCGTACCACCGGAAAACTTAGACTGGGTGACGTATGGGAGTTATGAATGAGTGTTTAGTAGGTTAGGCGGTGTCTACGAATATTTCTGTTCGCCACTTGACCGTGGCAATCGATCTAAAAATCTGTTTCAGATTCGGTGATTTATATGGCCGTGATATTGGTACGTTGAGCCTGGGCTACAGTGGCTACAGTGGCTACACATTGTACTCTATTCATTTTAACATATCAGGGACTTTCAAATGTTTTTATTGTTTTTATTTTATTTCATCTGTATATAATGTGTGTCAGGAAATTTAAAATTTTGTTATTGTTTTTATTTTATTTCATCAGTATGTAATGTCTATCAGAAAATTTAAAATTTTGTTATTGCTTTAACTTTATTTCATCTGTATGTAATTTCTTTCAGGAAATTAACAATTTTGTTATTGTTCTAATTTCATTTTATCTGTACGTAAAGTCGATCAGGAAATTAAAAGAATTGTTATTGTTTTTATTTTATTTCATCTATATGTAATGTATATCAGGAACTGTAAATTTTTGTTATTATTTTTATTTTATTTCATCTGTATCTAATGTCTCAAGTCCTAGGAAAGACTACCCAGTGTAACGGAAGAGCTGAGTTTCCCACAGATTTCTATTGTAACCAATAATAAATATAGGTAATAATTTATATTATTTCAGAAATTTTTTTTTGGTCCAATGTAGGGTAGTAACCGTAAGGGTAGTATTTCATAAATAAGATTTTTTTTTAATTATTTATTTAATTTTATGTTATAGGTAACATTGAAGACAAAAATAATATATAAAGAGGACAACAGTTTTGCAATGATGGATTCAAATATTTAGGAATGGGTTGCTTTTTGAAATCTGCAGGTTTTGCCAAACTGAAGAGGAAACGCTTCTACTGTATACGTCCTATGTGGTTATAGCCCACTCAGGCACAAATGAAATATCTCCTTTGGAAAATGTACACTCTTTCCTGAGGAGATAACAACCATCGCTCTTAAGAATATCCTTCAATTGTTGTCCCTGACGGGACGTGGCGAATTTTGAAAAAGGGCGAGCACAATAGATCTATGTAGGTCGCAGTGCTACAGGTCCAAGCACCTGACAATAGCCCAAACATTAAAAAATGCATTTGTAAAGAAATCAACACGTGACAATGCTTTTGACTATTCCATCTGGGATCACTGTAGGTTACAGTTGAATAAAAAATTACACTGAATATTAAAAAAAAAAATTAATGTAATCTACATTCAAGATATGCCTGTAATTACAGGTATAGTAGGTAGGTAAATTGGAATGACAAGTAAGCTGACGGTGCACTCGATGGTGACCCTCGCCTATTGGGGACGGGAATTATTAGTCATATGGACGGTTGACCACATTGCTAGCTATTTACCATGTCAGGCTGACCTCAACGGAAATCTTGGTAACCATCGTGATAAATTCCTGGTGAGTTTATCACGTAGGACCGACTGACCTAATCTCGTGCTCATCTTATCTAGAGCCACGCCATCGTAAACCCTATTACCTATACTATGCTACTATTCATATGTTAGCATTAAATATGAAGACTAAGCTGTCATGCTTTTTATCCTATAATTTCATTGCCTAATCTGAACCTTTACCACTGAAATACAGCTTACAAAAACTAGCTGTTTAGCGGCTGAAATAGGTTAGACTGAGGTACCCACGGACTCTACATTTTACAGTATACTCACGTATAACTAATAAGAGTTTATGATCTACTGTATCTATACATATGAATAAAATTGAGTGGGCTAATCTAAACACCATATCCAATATGTCGGATTGTCTACTACAGGGGCACTGGATATCGCTGCATTGCTGCGGACCCAGGGCTTCTGGACGTGGACATAGACTTAAATATATGAATTAAATGAATAAAATTGTAATTATAATTTACTAACGTTTATAAAATGTTTACTAATATCCGAAATAAACTAAATAATAATAATAATCTCTGAAAGGGCTGGACCGATTTTGAAGGGACTTTTTTGGCAGGTAGCTGATGTAATAAGGAGTAACTTAGACCACTTCTATTTTAGAAAAATACAGTTATATTCCACGCGGACGCAGTCGCGGGAAAAGCAAGTATATAATATAATTATTATAACGTTTGTTTGTTTCATGAACATGCCTTTACATTACTATTCCGTCTATTCATGGCCGCACGGTGTGGCACACGAATTAGCACTCGAGATTATCAGACTAATGGACAGTTTAGAAAGAGCTCATGTTTCATTTATGTGCGTAAATCATAATTATGGTAGTTGTGTCTATTTATAAAGCATTCCTAAAATATTCTACTACGTACATCATGTAGGTACCTATAGTATAAAGTTAAACTAATTCTTGTTTATTTTTATTTATTACTAGCTGTTCCCGCGACTTCGTCCGCGTGGAATTTAACTTTATTTATCTAAAATAAAAGTGGCCTAAGTTACTCCTTATTACATCAGCTACCTGCCAAAAAGAGTCCCGTCAAAATCGGTCCAGCCATTACAGAGATTAGCTGGAACAAACTGACAGACAAACAGATAGATAAAAATTGTAAAAAATGTTATTTTGGTGTATGTACCCTATTTATATACATGTAGTAAAAAACGGTTATTTCAATATTACAAACAGACACTCCAATTTTATTTATATGTATAGAGTTTTATAAATTTATATTAAGTTATATACCTATTTTAGACACCAGCTCCTCACAGCAAATCGATTACAATAATAAATCTTAGCATTTTATTATAAAAAATACTACATGTATTGTTGCCATCATTGTTAGGTGTATATACGGCCTCCTCACCGATTACGTTTTTAATAATAGTTGTTGTCAAAATATTGTATGACATGTTGTAAAAGAAAATTATAAAAAAAAGGGCAATAGAATTATTTTGTAAACGTACATATTATTTATTATTTAACACATCTCAACAAAAAAGAACCCCACCACAACAATCATGTTTGTGAGGAGAAATAAATAAATCATATTATTATTATTAAAACTAAAAAAAGATTTAATAAAATAAATATTTATCTATTATATAAAATTCTCACTTCGCAGTGGATACGAAAGAAAAATATAATCTGTAATATATTTAATATATATTTATTTATTTCAATGTTACAACACCATAATAGACAACCCATATCCGTGTTTTAACTTAATATACATATAAAGACATAATTAACATAATAACACGATTTAAACACTATAAAAAATCAAAAAATTTTTTCCAATACTTATGTGATTTTTGGCAAACTACAATAATTTCTCATATTATTCATTATTCCTAAAGCACGAGTTTTAAGGGGAATCTTGAAGTAAAATCGGAATCTTCCTCATTACATAGTATAAAACAAAGTCGCTGTCGCTATCTGTCCGTCCCTACGTATGCTTATATCTTTAAAACTACGCAACGAATTTTGAAGCGGTTTTTTTAAATAGATAGAGTGATTCAAGAAGAAGGTTTATATATATATACGTACACATATATACCCGTGAGGTGCCGAGACGAGTAGCTAGTATCAATTAATATCAATGCATCGTGTAAAATGAAGTCATTTCCGCTGTTTGTGTCTGTCTGTTCGCTTAGATCTTTCAAATTACGCAACGGTTTTTAATGCAATTTTTAGCAATAGATAGAGTGATTCAAGAAGGAGGTTTATATGTATAATACATACACACCCGTGCGGCGCCGAGAGGGGTAGCTAGGTGCATTGTATAAACTAAGTATTTCAGATATTTTAATATCAATGCATTTTTAGCAACAGATGTATTCAAATGAAGTCATTTGCGGCGCCGAGAGGGGTAGCGCATCGTTTGTGTCTCGCTGTCTGTTCGCTTAGATATTTTAAACTACGCAACGGTTTTTAATGCAATTTTTAGCAACAGATAGAGTGATTCAAGAAGGAGGTTTATATGTATAATACATGTACACCCGTGCGGCGCCGAGAGGGGTAGCTAGGTGCATCGTATAAACTGAAGTCATTTCCGCTGTCTGTTCGCTTAGATATTTTAAACTACGCAACGGTTTTTAATGCAATTTTTAGCAACAGATAGAGTGATTCAAGAAGGAGGTTTATATGTATAATACATGTACACCCGTGCGGCGTGTGTGCTGGTCTGCTCGAATCACTATGACTTATTTTCTCTTGTTAATTGTTTAACCAGTTGTTGTATATTGAATGTTTTTTCTATTTTATTATTTCATTGAATTAGTCATCGATGGTTTGTATTCACACACTTAAACTTAAATTGTAAGTAAAATAAATTATTTAAAATTTTTAGCAACACATAGAGTGATTCAAGTTTATATGTTGTTCTTCTTGTGATGAGACAGCATTTCCGCTGTCTGTTCGCTTAGATTAAAAAACGGTTTTTAATGACTATTTAGCAAAGATAGAGTGATTCAATGTAAGTTCATTTGAATAAATGATTTTCTATTCTATTCTATTCTATAGATCTTTCAATTTACACAACGGTTTTTAATGGAATTTTTAGCAATAGATAGAGTAATATAAGAGGAAGCTAGTTGCATTGTATAAAATGAATTTGCTTCTGCTGTCTCTTTGCTTAAATTTTATAAACTACGTAACGGATTGTAATG